GTTTGAAATGGATTCAAAGCTTATACAATTATAAGATGACTTTATATTTGTCTATGCCTGAATTCTTCCCAGAATTCATCCATGATTTCACCCCTAAAAAAAGTTTCAAATAGAATCAAAAGCTTAAACAATTATAAGATGACTTTATATTTATGTATGCCTGAGTTCTTCCCTGAATTCTTCCCTGAATTTTCCTCTGAGTTCTTCCCTGAGTTCTTCCATGAATTCTTCTCTGAATTCTCTCCTAAAAAATACTTTGAAATGGATCTAAAGCTTAAACAATTATAAGATGACTTTATATTTTTCTCTGCCTGAATTATCTCCTGAATTCTCTCCTGAATTCTCTCCTGAATTCTTCCCTGACTTCTCCCCTGACTTTTCCAATTCTCTTCGGCATCTCCAATATCTATACAATAAGAGCCAGTCCCATAAGTCTGGCGCCAAGCTGGCCATTAATTATAACGATTCCCATTGTCGCAAATGCCCATCAAAATCGATTGCATTCCTTTGGAATTTGTCGGTGATTTCTCTCACCTGGGTGGTACCACCGAGTGTCGCCCACCTTTTGCGTGTTTTTTTTTTCGCATGGAGCAAATGTTCGATTTGCCGCAAAAGGTCAAGAGGCATTGTTTGCTATGTGAGTGTGTCGCATTCATTGACAATTAAAACATTTTCGGCCATTGTCCCCGTAAAATACCCGGCACTGATCACTTTATTGTGTGCAACTCCCGGCCAGCTGTCCCTCGTCCCTTGTGTGACGTTGAGCAACCCCTCGGCATCGCTCCTTCCTTGATCCTGGATCCTTGATTCGATTGTCATTGCCATCGAGTGGTGGGCGCGTCACCTTTGATCTCTCTCTCCCTCGCTGGACAAGGGGCTGCTGTTCTTTCATAATTTCTGTCACTTTATGTTCGAGTGCTGCCGGACAATTGAATCCCATTTCGCAATTGAAAAACACCTTTTTTTCTCGACCTTATTAAGCGGAAAACGCCAAAAACGAATGTCAGGGGGGAAAAAGGGCCGCCTCATTGTTAAGTGATCGTAATTTATTTGGGCCAAGGCGCCGCTTAGACGGCTAACAGTTTTGGTCCTTGTCCTGGGTCAATAAGGTTTTGAATGGAATTGAATAAATGGTCTGAGTTACATCAGAGATTCAGCTGTATTTTTGTTCCTTTTCCTTTTTCTATGGATGAGATTTGTAATTGGGAAGGTCTTAAAGTTTGGGATAATATTAATAGTTTGAGAGTACTTGCTAATGTACTCTTAGTATTTAGTTCTTAAAATTAGTCATAAGTATATTTTTATTTATGAAAAATCTATCTAAGATAAAAAATGGATTTTAAAACCTTTTTACAAATAGTATAAAGACCAGGTGGCCAGGGAATCCACTTTCTTTATAAGGTATTTGGAAAGCTGGGAGGCTCTTAAAGACTGGGATAATATTTATAATTAATTGTTTAAGGATTATCATGTTCTCTTAGTATTTAGTCTTTAATATAAGTCATACGAGTATTTCCTAACAATCTGTCGATGATGGAAAATGGATTTCAAACCTATTTAAAAAAGTCGGATTAAGAATCCTAATTCTTTAGATGGGATTTGTATATGGAAAGGTATACAAATCGGGGATAATATCTATAATTAATAGTTTAATAATTAACAAGTAAGTATATTTCCTAATAATTTAAATAATAAATGAATAAAGTTAGAAAACGGGATAGTAAAGGGAATCCTGTTTCTTTAGATGTTATTTTGGAAGTTAAGAACCTCTTAAAGTTGGACATACTTTTAATAATTAAAAGTTTAAGGATTATCTTATATCTACCATTTAATATTTAGTCCGCAAATTGCAATGAAATTTCCAAGACTCTATCTAAGATAGCAGATATTTCTGCTATGATTTCAAAACCTTTTAAAAATAGCCTTTTTTAGATGAAATTTGATTTTTGGGAAACTCTTAAAGTTGGTTATACTATCAATAACTAATACTTATTAGTTTGTTACTAAAATTATAAAATCTACTATTTGATATTTCGTCCTTAAGTTGCAATGAAATTTCGCAGTACTTTATCAAAGATAGTAAACATTTCTACATGGATTTCAAAACCCTTTTTAAAAATAGTTTCTAAGTTAAGTCTCCTTTTGCTCTAGATGCAAAGTGGTTGTAGGGTTGTTGGGGATACTACCAATATTTAATAGTTAAAATATTGTAAAGTGTAGCATTTAATGTTAAGTTTTTAAGTATACATTTCCTAATACCTTATCTAAGATAGCAAACATTTCTAAATGGATTTTAAAACCTTTTTAAAAATAGTAGTCTCTAGGTAAATCGCAGCCTTAAAGAACCTTCTTTGATCTTGGTGATTTTCCCAGAAACACTACACTTTTCCTCCTCCCAGCAGCACTTTGACTTTTTCAATTTGTATTTCTTTTGTTTTGCTTTTTTTTCTAGTAGAGTCAGCAACTCGGATTCAACCTCCAATTTTTGCAGCTCCAGGAGAATGGGAATGGGTTTTGTTGATTGCCCAAGAGCATCATCATCAGTAGCAGCTGGTCGGAAAAGAGCTTTTGATTCCGTGAACGGAGAAACTGCTGAGCCGCAAGAAGATTTCAACACCTCAGGGCCCCGCCCCTGCACTCCACCCCCCTCCGGGGGCAAGAACCGAAATCTTTCCGGGGCAACACGAGAGATTCCCACACAAGGAGTTCCCGCTGAGGCAGCATTTCGCAGCAGTCGTGGGAGAGCCGCAAGCTCCACGCGAATGGTTTTGAAATCGGAATCGAAAACTATAACAAATATATATATTATATATATATTTTTATTGGCGACACTGGAAACAGTTGCTACTCCCACCTTTTCGGGCTTCTTGGGAACGTTTAGGGAACGTAAATGTAACGCCATTATCTGAAGAAATCTGCAGCGGAAAACATAACTCAAAAATATACACACGGCAAATACAAGTTAAATATAAAATAAAAGAGGGGAAAACAACAACAGGAGAAGAAGAGAACAAAAAAAAAAAAAAATAAACCACACACAAAATGAAATAAGATATTTTAAATTAATTGCCGGTGGCCAGAAACAAAACAGAAAACAATTCCTCCGGTGCACGTGACCGAAAGAAGGTAACATATCCCCAGACTTGGGTCTGGAACAGAGATCAGAAACACACAGGCCAGAGAGTAAACATTTAGATTAGATCAGTCATCCGGAGGCGCAAAAGTTCATTCAGAAGGAGTCAGGGAAGAGAAAAGGGTATAGACCATAGAGATACCTATTCTAAATCAACCTAAGAATTAACATATAAATAGGAAGAGGTTTGAGGGAAATCTAAGCATTTCTAGATTTTAGGTTTACTTAAAAAATTATCTTGAGGGTTGTTAGGTGTGTAGACCACACCTTCTTATTATGAACCCTGATTTGCTTCTAACAAATACATCTTCTTAATAACACTCCACCCATAATATTCAATTGTACTTTCTGATCTGTGTAATTAATGTTTTAACTTCCTTAACTTTAACCAAACAATCACAATCGCTGACCCACAATCTCAATTTCTAGAAAAAGAGGCAACATCTTAGGGAAACCATCCCCTAGATCTCTAAAACCCTAGATCCTATAAACCCAAGATCTTGCCCATAGTGCATATACCCGCACACACATTTCCAAGCCAAGAGCTGAGAGCTGAGAGCTGAGAGAATTTCAACATTTCTCATAGAAAGACATAATTTTCAATTTAATAAAGGTCAGGCCAATAAAACCTATCAAAACTGAAGATATATGCGAGCTACGTGCACCTGAAGGGGACACGGATTAAAAGGGTTGCTGTTTTGCTGGGAGCCATGAATGGGATATCGCATAGTTGCATGTGCGCCCGGCCAAAGATCACTCCAGGGGAAGGTGGAGGAGGCTGCCTCAGGGAGAGGACACAATAAAAATCAAGGTGATAACCATCTTTAATGGGGGTAGGCATCTCATCCCATCTCTCACTCACTCACTCACTCACACACTCACTCTTTCTCGCTCTATCTTTGGCATATTAAATTGTTGAATCAGTCACCGAGAGGAGACGGGAATAGGGATTGGGATTGGGATTGGGATAGGGATTGGGATAAGGGATTGGGATTGTGATCGCTGGCCAGACAAATCGGAGCACGCACACAGAGAGTCACAGAGTCCGAAATTAATGACAATTGCTGATTGTGTGCGATAAAATGCGATGTGCCGGGCACTCCGGTAAACCGCAAGCGGAGGGAACACATCAAAAAACCAGAGTGAAGGTGCGCAAGTAGATCCCAGCTTGAAGATAACACCGAAGAATGGAGTATCTGAAACTGGGAAGAACGGCGACAAACAATTTCTTGTCGTTAAATCGCCGGTGTATAGGGCAAAAGGTGTACCGGAGGAGAGAATTATTATATGGCTCGTAAAATATTTGAACAAGTCTATAAATGCCGCGTAATTCTGTTGCAATTAAAGGCGCAATCGTAAAAGGAAATTGCTTGGACACTTTTATGTTTCCCTTACCCTTCTTTGTATCTGTATCTCTCTTTATATCCCCTTGAGCCACCCCTGCGTATGCGCAATTTCTGTGGGAATCAAAATCCAAGTGTAATTGATATGGCGCCAGGCCACACAAGTTAAAGAAAACTCTCGTTTTGTGGTTGTACTTTCAATTCTTTTGTATTTGATTTGATTTCTATATAAAAATATGTATGCTAAAGTACATAAGGAGGTGTATATATATGGACCCGTGTGTATACAGTCGGGGAGATACATATATCTGTGTGTATATAGTTTGTTTGTGGCCTTTGTGGAGCGTTCTCAGCATTGGATTGTGTTTCCATTTAATCATCTACTATCACAGCGTCGTAATACAAGGCAAATGTAGCCACCGACCTATCGGAATGTGCGGCAGAGTGTTGGCGAGTTCTTCTAATAAATAATACAATGTCACTTAAATGCTAATAAAACTATTACAAAAAAAAAGACATTCGTTCTTAGATTAAAGAAAGAGAGAGCCTAAACTCCCCTTTACTTCATTCGGTTTTGGGATAATTGTTCTCTCTACTTATTCGGTTTTGTCATAGCCTTAGGACTCCTCGTGAGTGGCATTCATGGTGTGGCATGGGGATAATAAATAGTGTTAGGATGTGTGTTTAATAAATTAAGGGATGTGTGTGAGTGTGTGTGTGTCAATGGAATGAGCCTCGTTGTGGAATGGAGGTTATCGCTGATCCTCTAAGTCTTCACCGGCTTCTTCCGGCACTTGAGCTGCTGCCTCTGCCTGGCCAGTATCCTTCGGACACTCTTCAGATACTGCACGAATTCATATTTGGCGAATAGTGCATCCACGGGCAGCTTGGCGGATGGTTGTGGTGGCTCCACAGCCTCATTTCGGGCCGCCCGACTGGCCTGAAGATGCAGCTGGACCAGCGGAGTCTTGAACTGCTGCAGCCGCTTCTCCATGAGGGCCAGTGGCACCACCTTGAAACTGGATGGTCCACCGATGGACGATTGCCGCCGCCTGGTCACATTGATGGCCATCTCCACATTGCACAGGACACGTCCGGCGGCGGTGCGCATGCGCTTGAGATCCGCTGACATGGCGGTTTCCGCTTGCAAATTCACGTAGTCCCAGTGCAAATTGGCGTGCCTCAAATAACTAAAGGCGGCCACATAGAATTGCAGGTCACGGTGCACATGCCGCAGGTTCAGCTGCAAAAGGATCAGAAAAGAGAGAGGGGAAAGATTTAGATTAGTTTTTAGGTCAATATATGGTGATTGTTCTTAAAAATAGAGTAGATTTAGGGGGGTTTAAAGGTAAAAGATACTCGAAATGAGTTGATTTTCAATCTATCTTTTATCTTGATACTTAAAAGTATCTTTATATCGTATCATATACGTAAGTGTATTTAAGTTAAAAGATACTATATAAAAGATTAGATTTACGAGAGTTTGAAGGTGAAAGATACTCAAAATGAGTTGCTTTTCAATCTTAAATTCATGTTGATACTTAAAAGTATCTTTAAGATACATTTGTAAGTGTATTTAAGTTAAAAGATCCTATATAAAATGTCCTATATAAAAGATCCCGTAGAAAAGATCCCATATAAAAGGTCCTAAATAAAAGATCCTATATAAAAGATTAGATTTAAGAGAGCTTGAAGGTCAAGTTCTTTCTTGAAAGTATCTTAAAGATACATATAGATAAGTGTATTTAAGTTAAAAGATACATATTTAATTTATACTGTAGCTATGTATCTACATGTTGTCTTACACCTACTTCCCCTGTTATCTTTTCTTCAAAGATAAACCCCATTAATATATATATTTTACGTTCTGACCGATATATCTTTTGATGAAAAATCACATTATGGCATTATAAATTGAGGAAATTATAGGCGCTATCTATATGGCCATTCTGGTGGGGGGGGGGTCTTCCGCCTGCTCCAACTAACTTTTTTCCAGATATATAGTTTGTTATTTTTTTTGTATTTTTTGGGTTGACTGAACCGCAAAGGCAGCGCTGCTGGCTGCTCTGCTCGCGTCGCTGTCGACGACACTGCCTGAAAGTGAAAAGCAAGCCAAGCGCTTTGCTCTCTCGCTCTCGCTCGTGCTCGTGACGTGTTGGTCGTGCGTTGTGCTCTCCACGCTCGGCTTTGCTTCGGCTCGACTTCGTTTCGATTCGGCTCGGTAAATTTCATTCATGCCGCCGCTCGTTCGCCCCCGCTTGGACGCTGACTCTCTGCTCTCACCCCCCACCCCCCCCGCCACACCGCTGGAGCCTAGCGAATGCCGGGGGAATCCACGGCACTTCTCGCATCGTTGGCATGAATCACGTATACGCCCCGCGGTACCGCGCACCCTGCCCAAAGCACGCGCCGAGTGTGTCACTTGCAAATAAATGAGCGTTGTTGAAAAAAAGCGCTCAAACATATCACATATCGTTAACTCCGATCCCGTATCAGCAAATTTCCAAATAATTGCCATTATGTGTGAATATCTATGACGTCAAAAAGGCAGTGGAGTAGGGAGGGGAGGAGCGGCCCGCCTATAAATAGAGTTCTATCAGTCCCGTCTCTGGCACCTCGTCATCGCCATGGGCTCCGCTCCGGACACCAGAAGCAGCACCAACAGCGGGATGTCAACAATTAGTTGGCACAATGGGCATTGACGTAGTCGATACCGACTAAATATTGACACACATCCCGAGCGGCAAGTTCCCAGCTCTCAATACAGCGAGAGAAAAAAAGGGGGATTGCAAATTGGTTCCACTTATGCCAGCTCTAATTTTGCTCTGTGTAGTGCGGGTACTTTTCCCCCAATGACGACAATTGAGAAATTTCAGCGAAAGCCAAGCTTAACTCATCGCCTCGAATAGCCAATTGACTGAGCGAATCGAGTGACGCGAATGGCCAAGAAGGCAACGGGATGATGAGCTTAGACATGGAAATAACATACATATGATATATATATTCCCGTGAAGGCGACCTTTGAGACACACCTGCACCATGGCCAAGAGCTAGAGTTTTCGGTGAGTTGGCTCACCTCCCACGATCTCGTTTACGGTAGCCTCAATCATAAAACCTTTATGACCATGCCAAGTGAACTACACTGTTCTGGTTATCTGCAGTTAATTCTGTCTTAAATAAAACTTTCCCAGAAATTAGCACATTAAACTGAAACAATCTCGATCGAACCTCCAAAGACCTCCTTTTTTTCGTGGTCACGTACATACTTATAATATTGACTTGCACCCCACATATATAACCTAGTTGCGATTAGTCAATTATTCTGCGAATATGGCAACATTCCTTAGCCAACCCTTCCTGGTGGCCCTACCTAAAACGATGACACGGCTGAGCTTATCGCTCGATTTGGGGCTTTCCCTCAGCTGGGTTTTGCTCGGAAACTATTTCCGAATTCCAGCCAAAGCTGCATTTTTCAGGGTATCGAGTTTCCACTCTATAACTCTATATAATAATTCAGATATCGCTGCCGAAACCAATTTAAAAATTTCAATTTGATTAGCTTCTGTTGTTGTTTACTTGTCAAATGTGTAAATAAAATGTGCCGCTTGATTTTTATTTTGTTTGTGCAACGAATTAGCCACTTCGAAATGAGACTCGCGGTTTGGTTTCAGATTCGGATTCAAATTCAGATTCAGATTTCAGAGTTTCAGAGTTTTAGAGATGATAAAACGTGATCTGGTTCGGGGGCAGAGGGATAGTATGGATCGATCTATATAAACAATACTCTGGGGGCTGGAATCGGTCGCGCGCCTTCAATTTGCTCTTAAGCTTAATGTGGTTATGGCATCGGACATCAATGTTCCGGCTCAACTTGATCGGTGTCGTGCTGCTGTTGTTGTTTGCCAATCGATGGCTAATGGGGCGTCCCGAATTACCACTTAATGCTGACGAATTGAGCGAGGGTTGATCAATGAGTTTGGGGGTAGTGTCTTCCCTGATCTCAAGATATATTCCTGCCCAGTCTGCAACGTTGCAACCACTCTACCATAACTCCTAGTTCCTGTATATTCATAGACCGATAGAACTAATGAAGCAACCCCCTGGCCAGCTCTTGGCACGATTTCCCAGACTGGGAACTCATATGACCGGACGAGCGAGCGAGTTAAACTTGTGACTGTGTTTGGACGGTTTGCACCTACGCAGGGCGAATCACGTGACCCCGTTTATCACCTCACATCCCCTGGCAACAGCAGCGCAGAAGAACTGGCAGTGTTTGAGGTTTGTAAGCGATCAAATCGGGGCTTCTTCACACCCCGTTTGTTTGATATAAAATAAATCTGCATTGAAGCGCGGTAATGGATATTAAATTAGCCAAGTTAGTGCTCTTACCTGCTTGCCGGTATCGTTGAGACGGGGCAGGAACTTGTAGTGCTGCCTGTGGAGCTCCCATTTGCGCAGCTTGGAGATATCGATGGCCTTGTTGGTGCCCGTGCCCAGCTCCCGGATGGAGTTGGTGGTATTCCTTGATTTGTCCTCGGCCTGCAGGGTCCTTAGCTCCCTGCCGGTCTGGTTCTGCAGGCTCTGCAGGGCCTGTAAGATAAGGATTGATATAGATTATTTGGTAAGGTAACTTCTTGCTCCTTGTGGAAGGTTTCTAGGTTTCGCTACTCACCATTTGCCTCTTCTTGCAGACATTTGTGGGACGCTTGTGTTGTGTCCTTCTCGCATGCCACTTGCCACCGCATGTGTTGACCCAATCCAATTGGGCATTGCTGGCATTCAGCTCCAGTTGGAAGCGCTCCCGGAAGGTGGCCGGCGGATGTCCATGCCGCTTCTGGAGGCGCTTTGCCACTGCCACAACCGTGGGGGAGGAGGAGGAGGAGGAGGTCTCTGGAGTGGGTGCTGCTGCCACACCGAAGGCACCGCCACCGCCACCACCACCGCCGGCAAACTGCTGAAGCTCACACATGATGACCAGGGCGAGCATCAGTAGCCACCAGTTTCTGTTCGAATGACGACGTCGCTCCACGGGCGGCGGTAGCGGTACCGTTGGCTTCCCTGCGCTGGCCGTTGTGCTGCCGCTTCTACTTCTGCTGCTGCTGATGAAGTCAAGCGGGCAGTCAGCTGTCGTCTGGGGAAAACAAGAGGAAAATTCAATGAAAAACGTACATAAAATGGGAATTAGCTGGGGATTAATTAGAAAAGCTTTAATGTGTGCTCTAGGATTTCCTTGGCCTGGCCTGCTAATTGTTTGTTTTTCCCCCTCAAAAACCAATTCAAAATAATTAGGAAAAGTGGGGGGAGGGCTTCTGGGTATAGTATCAAGGATTTCTGTGAAAACTTTTCTTATAATACTTCTCTTCCTCTTTGAGCTCTCTTGACGTCAGAGCGTTGTGTTTAGCATAAGTGTAACGGAGCTAACCCCAAAACCCCACAACTGGTTATATATATTAGTTAAAATTATGATTATAAGATTTTGGTTATTTATTTATAGACGAAAGATTGAGGGCTGCCCGTGTGTCGAGGGAGCAATTACCATAAGTCAAGACTAAACCTACTAAACCGACTGGTTGTCTGCTAGCTTTCCGCTCTATACTTGTCTATGTGTGTTGGCCAAAAGATATATGTACATGTATTCAAGCACGTGAGTGTGTGCTACGATTGCTGGTAGCTCGGGGGATTCCCGCTGGACATAATCGCAATTGTTTGGGGGGCCCGAAGCGTGCGTGATTTGTTATTGTTATCGTTTGCGCTATTTGCCTTTGCCATTGCCGTTGCTGTCTTTATCTGGCTGACATAATTATTTAAAATTAAAAATAAATTTCTTTATTTGGCCGAAATTTTCTGGCTGAATCATCGTGGCTGTTAGCGATGACGCTGAAGGTAGTGGCGGCTCGTGGAGGCCTTTGGCTTTGACTCTGCCTCTGGTGGGGTAGGCCCTGTTCACTCCACGCGCCCGTATCTCTACACTGGACAGCATGGTCAACGAACTTGGCCATCGGAGGGAGGGAGGGCTTCTTGCAAGCGTTTGTGAAATTCGCTCGCTACCGCTCCCGCTTCCGCCCCCGCCTCACCTAACCCCTTCTAGGCCCCGGACCTTGGCCATGCCCAATCGCTTGGCGCTGACGCATGCCCTCTCTGTGTTGCTGTCTCTGTCTCTGCCTCATAGCTTAACCCACGTTCCACCCTCCGTCAGGGAACGTGTAAATTAATTTCACATGTTTGGCTCTTTGCTATTTTGGCTTACGCACTTCGAGATTCAGGCTAATTGGGCCACCAAGACGAGACACGGGCAGTCCAAGGTCCTGGCCTTGAAGGAGTAGTACTAAAATAGTGACTTAAGAAGGATATGTGCTATCCTTTATAAAGAAAATCAAATCCCTTTCTGGCACACTCATCTCCTGGCCATGCTTTAAAGACTTTACTTATTATAATAAGCAAAGAGTACAACTATGATTCATAATATTACAAAACAAAGCCCTAGATGCATTTTGCAATGAGAGGAGTTCATAGCAAAACAGTGATTCATCAAAGGGATATCATCTTCTTTCGGGGGAGGTTACTCCTTTTGACCATTTTGATCATGACACCTGAATCCCAAACAATTTCATCACAACAGCTACGATGTGATTACAGCACCTTGTCAATATATATATGTGGGAGATATATATGGGATGTCTGGCCACTATTCCCCATACACCTTGTACTACTTATCGCCAGGCCAAGCACGCACAGGTGAGTTCCGCTCTCTTCGTTTTGTTTTCATTCCAACGCTTCCTTCTGCTGGCCAAAAAACAAAACAAAACAAGACAAAGCAAAGCGAAAAGCGAAACAAAACGAAACAGAACCCAGGGACTTTTTTTTTATACCCTCAAGTGTCCAAGTCACGTAATTAACTAAAAGATGACTACTGCACTCACTTTTGCTTCTACTCACCATTTACATAAAAATCGTTGGCTGGAAATTCCGCACAAAAATTTCCCCAATCAGGATATTTCTTGTTCACTCACGTTTGGTACTTTTTTACTTTTTTTTTTGGCGGAGGGAAGTTTCGAGAATGCACAAAAAAAAAAAAACTTTATATGATTTTGGTTGTGGAAAACACGGACACGCGAATTAATTTGTTTTTGGCGAACTTGAATTTTGGCAGAATATATATTTCGCGTTAAGTGTCGACGCGTTGCCTTCGACTGTCTGCTAAGATTTGATTCCGATCCGATCGAAATGTCGAAGTCGCTGCTGATTTCTCGCCGGGGAGAGCCGTGACGAGCGTGTGGAGAGTGTGGAGAGTGTAGAGTGGAGAGTGGAGTAAAGCGAATTGGTGGAGTGGCTTTCTCGTCGCTTTTTTAGCTTTTTTCGCATGCAGCTACTTGGGCCGGACGGAGACGGAGACGGAGACGGAGACTGAACTCCTCAGTTACTATGAGCATACTAATGAGGAGCGGAGGTTCATGCCCATACCCATATCCCATATACCCATACTTATACCCATTCCAGCTGATGAGAGAGATAGAGAGAGAGAGAGAGAGCGAGTGCCTCTCTGAGTGTATGAGTGTGCAATCTCTGGGCAGCGCCAGAAAAGCGCTCAAAACTGTTTTTTTTTTGCTTTTTTTTTGGCCAAAGCGAGTGCCAAGAACGAAAACACAAACAAAAACAAAGCGAGAAAGCCATCAAAGGCCAAAACGTTGGCGGCAACAGCTGTGCGAGCGGGAGAGTTAGAGTGTGGACTGGGTTAGTACCCTGTAAAGGGGAAATTTGTGCATTAATATATATTTCATTTATCAATAGAAGTATCAACAATCATATACATAAATATTTATACCTAGTTATGCATAACATAATATAAACAATCAATTTAGGGTCTCGACAAGGTTTGTACTCTGTAAAGGGAAATTTGTGGACATTATTCAAAGAGATCTTGGAAAATGCCTACCAATTGAAGTATCTAAAATCATATAACTAAAATTATATATAAAGTTCTATTTGATATAATAATATGAGTTAGATAGTTAAGATCTTTCTGAGGTTTGTACCCTGTAAATTAGAAATTTACATACATAACTTTTATATTTATATCTATCAAATATCCATTTAAAGAAGAATCAATAATCATACATATATGTACATAAATATATAGTATAATAATTATAATAATTAATACTAATTAATTAATTAATTAATATTATAATGAATAAAATCAGCGAATGAGGATATCTTTTAAGTTTGTACTCTGTAAATTTATGATTTTAAGTATCAGAGATGTATCAAAAGTTCTAGCAACAAAAGTATAAGCCATCTTATTAATAAGTATATATGCCAAGTTCTTGATATTATAATGGTTTAAACTGATTTTTTACCCTGTAAAAGGGATATTTATGAACATAGATACAGGAGATTTATCAATAGAAACATCAGAAGAGATATAAATATATCAGATACATAAATATACAGATGTACATATGTAAAAAGTTTATATAATATAGAAATATAAGCACTCTAGTTTTGGTCTAAATTTGGTATCAACTATCACTTAAATTAATATATATATATACCAAATTCCATATAATTTAATAATATAAGCAAACCAGTTCGGATTTTGGCTAGTTTTTTACCGAAATAGTTAAATTTGAGGACCTTTCAAAATATTTATAATTAAATTCTATAACTAAATATAAAACTAAAATTCTATATAATATTATTTCTATAAAATTCTATACATCTTTATATATAATCTTTATTCTATATAATGTAAATGACAACTAATATCCCCCTTTGACCCTATAAAACCTGTAGAAACACCGCTTAGTTATTGATTAGGCTAGTCAGACCCATCGATTTCGTCTTGGAGTGAAACACCTGAACTTGCACGCTCTTGCGCTCCTCGCTGATGACACATAAACGCGACGAGCGACGAGCGTGGAGCGTGGAGCGTGGAGCGTGGAGCGTGTAACGTGGAGCGGAGTGATTGATCGATCTCTTCTAGGGACCACAGATAAGGCCCAGCTGGTACTGCCGGCAGGGGAGAGCGCTATCTACCGCCTCGGCTCTCCCGCTCGCAGATAAACAAATGGCAAATCATTTTGCCGGTCTCTGGGTTTCCGTTTCGGGTCTTAACCGACTCTCCGGCTCTCCTGCTCTCGGCGAGAACTTTACGTTCACAGACGACTATTATCGAATGACTTTCACTGACTGCCGCCACTTCCGATTTGGGTTTGTAACACCCCCGCAAATGGCGGGGAGGGTGGTGGAGGGAGGGGTGCAATGCCGGTATGAATTTCAGTTATTTCCGTTCAATTTCGCAAGAATATTACTCATACGCGCCGCTGCCAGTGCCAATGACGACACACACCGCAGAGCTGGAGCTCTCTCACGGTCTCGCACACTCACGAATACACAGCGATTCGATTCATTCATGAATTCCACGGCGAGTGGGAAATGCGGATGCCTAGCATATGTATGTAGTATAGCCAGAAAGGCGGTCTAAATTTCACCGCGCGCCAAAAACATGATCAATCGAAAAGTTATTGAGCACTCATCATTACTCATGGACAAGTGATGGAGATGTCGCGGCTCATCGCCTGCCTGTCACCCTCCTTTTGAATAGAGAAGAGTTTAGACGAATTGTGGATGCTCTTTAGGGTTAAAAATATCTAAATAATAATAATAATATAAATATATATATATAATTTAAATACAAATATAAATTTTATAAGTAAATAAATATAAAAATATCAGAGAAATAAAGGAGAATAAGTAAGGGGTTGAAAAATTTTAAATAACTTGGGATTAAGGTTTTCTTTAAGGTTCTTAAGATGATATTAGGTATGGTTTTTAATGCTTAATATGTTAATTAATGAAATAAATATTGTTTTAGAGTTTTTTATGCTTTTATAGTGTTATAAAATATATTAATTATATCAATAATTGCAAAAGAAATTTAAGCAAATATGTAGAGGCTCTAGAAATAAAA